GCATACACAGACAAGATTGACCAGAGCCTCTATATGGGAGTCCTTTGCCATCCAACTGCTGTTCTGTTAACTGACATATTATTTCTCTGCTCACTCAGCTTCCCTGTCAAATACATTAGGTCCCTTTGGAGATCCTTAAAGTCTAGCAATCAGTATGGTATGTACAAACATCTACTCCTGGTAAAAAAAAAAAAACAAAAACAAAATGCAGGGAAAAAGGTCAAAATAACAATAAAAACCCTCAACTAAAAAGATGCCCAGAAACATTAACAAAGAAGTCACGGCTCCTCATCACACTCCTAACAGGGTCACAAGGACTCTTTGCTGGCTTAGTTGGCAAAGTGCCTACTGTGCAAACATGAGGACCTAGGTTCAGATCTCCATCACCCACATAAAAGCTAAGTGGGGTAATGCATATCTTTGATACTATTGCTGGGGGTGAGGTGGAGGTGTGGAGCAGGGCAGAGACAGGTAGATCCCTGGCCACATTCCTGAGCTCTCACAGAACTTCGAACTCATAAAACATACAAAGAAAAGACAAAGGTGGAATGCACTAGAAGACGACTCCTGGCATCAACATCTGGCCTCCATATGCACACACATCCATGTGAATGTGCACTCACATGTGCACACGTATACCTGTAACACACACATAATAAACAGATTGACTACTTTTTTTTATGTTTCTTGATAACTTTTAAATCATACCTTGTTATCCATTGCTCTACATGAGGTTAAAGTGATAAACAAGCCTGAGTATTCCAGGTTTTGGTGCCAGCAGAAATTTTAGCTCTCTTAGTAAGCCTAGCTCAGTGTGGGGCTCTTCACAGTGGTTCTATGCCATGGTAACAAAACAAAACAACCCCCCCTGCACCCCAATATAAAGCTAAAAGTCCTTCCCAAACTTTCATTTTTAGGCCCACTTGGGAAATATCAGCAGAACTTCCTGCAAAGACTCATGAGTAATAGACTTTCAGAGATTCTCAGCTTACACATGGAGTCATAAGTCTTGAGATATTACATACATTTTGTTGCAATTTTTGGCATTTCTGTGGCTAACTCCAGCAGAATCTAATCACCATGGTCATGAGCAGAACTTGCCAACCTCCTGCTAGTGTCTTTAGCTGAAAGACTAGTGTGTGGGGACATTGTGAGGTGCCATCTATGAAGCAGAAAGCTTCCTTATCATACATCAGATCTGCTTTGCAACATGATCTTGGACCTCCCAGCCTTCAGAGTTGTGAGAAATAACATGTCATCTATAAGTCAGCCGGAGCTGTGTTGCAGCCGTCTGATGAGACTTGGGAGTGTTTTAATATTCTGTAGGCTTTGTTACCAGATGTATCTTCACACTCCACTTCTTTAAACAGCTTCAGAACTTGAAGCCATCTTCAGTTCTTGATCTTCCCTGCCTCTGTGGCTACTTTGCTGCTGACAGTATTCCAAGAAATTTTGCCCCTTTCATGGCCACCTCATTCATAATTCCTCACTCCAGCTACTTCATACCCAGCTTGGTTACCGCTCCTCACCCACACACCTCTGCTGAAGTAATTCCCTCAATCTTGAAGAACAAATCCTGGAATTTTCTATTGCCTTCAGAATAGAGCTCCAGTCTGTCTGTGGAGTTTGCAAAACTCTTCCTTATCTTGCCTCCTCTGGAGACAGTCCTATTTTTCCAGTGTGATCTCATATTACACCACCTGCCCTTAGTGTAAAGTTTATACTGAGGATTCTGCAGAATGTCTGATTAAAATATCCTTGATTACCAAGTGGTGGAACGCAACAGATCCAGAAACAAAATGAACTTGGGCTGTCTTTAGTTCTCTTAATAGCCATTGACACCCATGTTCACATGTGATCTAACATTCCCTTTTACTACCAGGTGACATCTTTAGAATGCATTTACTTAGCAGGACACCAGAGTCCACTAAATCTAAGGCTAAGAAAGCCATAACATCTGGAATATATAGGTAGAGACTTCTCTGCTTAGCTGTAACCCGTCTAGCTCATGTCTTTAATGTTTGCAAAGTGCATTTATTTTTGACTTTATTTTGTCCTGTGACAATGGAAAGGTCACATAATCTCATCCATGGTGGAACACGTCATTTTGTTGTCATTTGAGGCATTGTTCCCAGGCCATTATTTGGATACCAATAAAGTGCCCTTATTTTTTCTGGAATGGAGGCTGTGTTTGGAATTGACAGCTGTCACAGTCTCTCTCCACCACCATCTTTGCTTTCATTATACCAACCTACAATTTGTATTTATCCTACAGCTCCAGGCAAGTGAAAACATTAAGCCCATGTCCTTCCTTCCTTTCTTCCTTCCTCCCTCCCTCCCTTCCTTTTTTCTTTCACTCTTTCTTTCCTCCTCTATTCTTTGTTTGGAGAACACTCCTCTTTCTTAGCTGAATTGGTTCCTACTGATTCTTCAGGGCTTGTCTTGAGCTTTCTATCCAACAAGCAACACTTCCTGGTTAGTCAGGTTGAGAGGAGCACTCAGTGCCTCTAATTTTGTTCAGCTTCATTTCTGATTTGATTGCATCTTTCTGTACATTTGATCTTCTCGAGGGTGGGGCCATACTTCTCACCTCAGGTTTTATGGGTCGGTAGATATAGGCACAACAAATGTGTAGAGAGCAGAGTTAGATGGCTTACAGAAGCACTGTGCTGAGTAATTGATATCAAGAAGTGAGGCCCAACAGAGATGAAAGACCTCTCCTCTTGTAGAAGGGAGTGTAACATTGTGTAGAAGAGGACCAGAGTTCCTAAAGGGTAGAACTAGCATGTGATTTAGCAATCAAAGTCTATGTCCAATATCTATCCGGGTGATAAGGGACACCACAGAGCTTCTATAAGATCATTCATAGAAGTATTTATTCATGCTAGTGGACTCACAAAACATTATGCTAAGTGAAGGAGACCAGGCACAAAAGGTCACATTTTGTATGGATAAGACATATCCCGACAAAGGAAGTGTGACAGAAGGTGGTTTAATGTTGCCTAGGGCAGATGTGATGTGTGAAGAGATGGAGGGACAGAATGACTGCTGAAGAGCATGGAATTTCCTTTGGAAGTTGGAAATCATACTTTTAAGTTGACTGTGGTGATGGGTGCTTACGTGTGAGCATGTTAACATTTTAAAGATAAAAATCAGGATTACTTTGACGGATTTTGGAGGTAAGATTCTTATGACTAATAAACAGTGAACTAGAAGTGGAGTGGTGTGCTGTAGGGATAGACGGTCATTCTGTTGGGTAAATCTGGCTTTCCATCTTGCTAAACAGCATGTTAAGTTACCCTTCCCAAGTCTGTGTTATTTGAAAAGTGACTAAATATATCTATGTTGCACAAACTAAGAGAACATTTTTTTTTATTCAATTTTTCCTAATGCTATAGGTGCACAGAATGCTCTATTGATGATACTACCATTACGATTAAGTCCATGTAGTAATGAATTTTGGATTAGGTGAGATAAAGTAAGCATACAGACGTTTCAACGGAAACCCAAAGGCATTAAATTTTCAAGCACAAAAAGTGAAAAGCCAAGGTGACACACAGATATGAGCAGTTTAAGAAATGCTTATTGAATGTCTTTCCACTTTGACTAGTAGACTCCAGATGTACAAGGAGAAATGGGAAACAGCTTGCTGAGTATACAAATAAGAAGTGGTCCTTGATTTGGCGATCAACTGGTAATAAAAAACAGTATACATGTGCAAGGAAGCATCAAATTTCTGTAAGAGAAACACAACTTGTTTGTGCAAAGAATGGCTGGGTGGAAAAAGGCCGAAGAGGTGATCTTCTCAATATTAGTTGTTCACTAATGACTTCAGGTTGCCCAACTCAGTGGAGGCGGGTCAACATCCTGCTGACACTTCCCACTTTGAGTACAGAGATTAAAGATAGTTCAGTCAATTTTGTTCAGTGGAAGGGAGAGAAAAGCAATTCCAATAATGCCCTTTGTATGAACAATAGAAGTAGTCCATAGAGTCACACTCAAAGATCAGGGTACTTAGGCAGTAAAACATCTTGGGTATATCTAGTTCACTTCCAGATTGCTAACACTTGACTTGTCCCAAGTAAACGGTATACATTCAATAATAATTAAGTGAATGTTGTTTAAACCACCTGAGAAGTGTGCTATCTGTTGACCATTTCCATGTAACAGTCATGACAGTCTATACAACTACTCTCCCCTTCAAACAAAAACCTATAAAGTGTGTGTGTATTCCCTTCAGGAAAAGGTGTTGACTGACAGCTTTGATATAAGTATGTCGAGCAGCTGAAAAAATCAACTGTCTTTAATAGAATATGGATGAACTGTTATGATAGAGTTGATTACAAGCGCCAAAGTCTTAGGGCACAGATCTTCAAAATCCAGTGGTCTAGAGACGCTTTCAGCCTAGGCACGTTCAGGAACTTGAGAGTTCTGCTAAGCCAACAGGACCAGACATCATGTCAAACATTTCTTGAGCATGTCATAGTGCCAGGTGCTTTTTTCAGTTCTAAAATTTTGGTTGCTTATAAGAGGCAAAGGGAGTAGAAGGCTCTTCTGGTGGTAGATTCGAGTTCTGGACAGGAGAGAGACTGATTTGGAAGGTGGTTTTATGGGCCTGTCACTAAGGGAGATTGAGAACCTTTACTAGGTGGTAGATCTTGAGAAAGGTCAGGAAAAGCGTTAAGTCGAAGCCAATCTATCGCAGAGTGCAATTACCTGAGAATCATTCAACTAGGAGGTTCTTCTTGTGAACCTAGCCTGCTGAATCTCTGATAGGAGGAATATTTGGTGGATGGTTTGATTTGGCTCAGGACAAAAGATAAGGCATGATGCAGTTGTTGAGGATGGTCAGGGCAGTGTATATCAACCAGGCCAGTCCATTTCACAGGTCAGGTCTCCCTTCAGATGAGGTTCAGCTGGCCTCAGCTTGGGGTCATGTGATGCGCCCGCGGAAGACTGGAGCGCCGCGCGCAGGCCTGGGCGGGCCTAGGTAGAAATCAACTTCCGGTGAGGAGGTCCTGGACACCCGGGTGGTGCGTGGGCTGCCCCAACGTGGGTTCCCGGGCCCGCAGTCACCGGGAGGGGGGTGGTTGCGTAGCCGGTGTCCCGGAGCAAGTGTCTGAGAGCCGGGTGTGACGCGCAACAGCGCGGGGAGCACTGCGGCGGCGGCAGGAGCAGGTAATCGGGTGCTCGCCGTCAGGGTCCGGGTCTCTGACGCGGGTGGGAACGTGGCTAAGCTACCGCGAGGCCTCGGCCGGGCGACTCAAGGGACCTGGGTCGGGGAGGCACCCCGCTCCCGCCCTCGCCCGAGAGGACCTGCACTTGCGTGGTCCCGAGTGGAGAGCCATAGGAAGTTCGCTCGCTGGCCGCGCCGCAGTTGTCCCGGCGGAACGGAAGTGTTGACCCTGCCGGGGTTCCCGCCGGCGCCGAGAGGCGCACCCCTTCCGGTCTCAGACCTTGGCAAAGTGCGCAGTATGCTCAAAGGAGTTCTCCTGGAGAGCTGATCGCTGGACACACCTACAGCGGCTCTCACCCGAGACAAGCACCTTGCGGAGCGCGCGCGTGGCCTCTGTCTGTCACACACCTTTCCCCGCCCCCAGGATGCCGCGTCTGCGCGGCCGCGGCCGCCTCCGCCGGGGGGAGCTTTGCACAAGAGTTGTCAGCTGCTCTGACAGCTCTGGGCTGGTGAGGCCGCTGCGATCTTGGCCCTCCGCTCTGGGGAAGTGAAGGCTATAGTCTCATCTGAGGTCCCTCAGAGGCCGCCCACGAATTCCGACTTCTCCCTCCACTGTGCAGACACTGACACATCATCTGCTCCTAACCTTTAAACCGACCAGCTCGGTGGATGGCTATGGAACAATGTTTGCATGCTGCGTGGTTGAGGGATTGCCATCTTGTCACTGGGTGGGCCAACAATCACCTCAGGATTTAAGGCAAAAGCCTGCAGAGTACTCACAGGAAGGGGCGACAGCAACCGGGTTGAAGTACACCTGTAGTCCTCTCAGCCACACATTCTGTTGTTTTTGGGGTTGTCAGTTCCTCACCTGTTGGGATAAATGGCTCAGGGAAGATGCTAGGCCCGCTGCACCTTCTTGGTGCCCTATGTGGTGTGATAGTGTGTGGAGAATTGCCTGAAGACGGGTGAGGAAGTTTAGTGTCCCCTAGGATGGCTAGGAGGCGTTTCAGTGGGCTAGGAAATGTGAACTGGTTGCCTAGCAACATCATACTCCAAATGGAAAAACCATAAAACAAAATGAGAAAGTCCAGGATTTTTGAGTTTTTAAGAAAAATATTAATCATCATAATACTTCACAGAAAAAGAAAACTGTTTAGAAACCCAGAGAAACATCCGTTGTTCTCGTGTTCTCTCTCTCTCTCTCTCTCTCTCTCTCTCTCTCTCTCTCTCTGTCTCTCTCTGTCTCTCTCTGTCTCTCTGTCTCTGTGTGTGTGTGTGTGTAAAAGCCTGTCATTAATTAATTAGCTTGTCTCAAGCTTGAATGAACAGGACTTTGCTTAGTGGGACACTTTATTGAACACTCAGGTACTATTAGATTTGTAAAGAAGATAGAATTTTTATTAATAAAGAAAACTTTGAAGGCAGTCTCTCTCTGTGACACAAGCCAAGTGGGAATCGATTGAGGTAGGTGAGATCTTTCTATTAATGAAAAAGTAGGAAAAATGTTTAAATTCTAAGGTTCACGTCACGGTGCTCCATTGGCTACTGGTTCCTTATAACTTACCATTAAGTTTTGTCATTTCCTGTAAAATGTAAACGTTTGAAAGGCCACTCTGTATTAGTTTGTATGTCAGTTTGGTACATTTTAGGGTTCATTTTCTGGTTGTGTCTCCTTTCTTCTGTTTTCAGTAACTTGAGTTTAGCTTATTTGAATTAGAGTTGATGTACACTTTCCCGAGGGACATTTCTTTCAGTTTAGTTCAGGGTAAACCTTCCACAAACTAATTCACTTGTCTTCGCATGCACTGTGACAAGTGCCTGGTTATATAACATCACCACAGTTTGCTCGTTGGGATCACCCAGGGTGGCTACAGATTCATCCTCCGTCTGATTTTTCCTCTCTGGACTTGTGTAAGTGGAAAGATGTAGCACAGCCCCTTGTTCCTACTCTTTTTCCCAGAATGCTTTTCTAGTTCACCCTTTTGGTGTCTCCTTAAAAAGGGGGCGTGGTATTTCCGTCTGTGAGTAGACCACAGTATACTTACTAGTTGGTGGGCATTTAGGTAGTTTCTGAGTTCTATGTTTTGGGATGAAGCTGTTACAAAAATGCATTTTTTTGGGGAACAATCTTTTAAATCTTAAGAGAGATTAGTTCTCATTTCCTTTGGTTAAGTGTTGAGAACCTGGATGCTGGCCCAGGCGGCAGGTGCATGGCTAATGTTTTAGCTCTGCTGTTTACTGTGGTGGCTGCTGTGTGCTGCCCTCCTGTCAGTGAGATGCATGGTCCATTTTGCTGTGTGTCAATCAGGTCTTGACATTTAGCCCCTGCTTCAGAAGGTGTTTCCTCATGACTCACTGAGTTTTCCTTTTTTTAAAAATTTGAGACAGGGTCTCAAATAGCCCACTCTGCCTTCAACTGGCTCCATAGCTGAAGCTAGCCTTGAACTCCTGATTATCCTGCCAGCACCTTTTAAGGCTGGGATTACAGCTGTGTGCTTCCATGCCTGGCTCTCACAGATGATTTTAATTGAGGTTATAGTTAACGTGTAAGGCATTTTCCTGCTGTTTGCTGTCTATATGTTCTTTCAAGAGACATCTCTCCAAAGTATTTTGTGAGTTTTTATTATCTAATTAAAAAAAATCTTATACAATCTGGGCACAAACTTTAGTTATATATATATATATATATATATATATATATATATATAT